GACCTTTATTAGCGGATGTTTTTATGTCTTATGTTGAAAACTTATCTTCTGATTTAATTTCTAAACTGCCTTTCTATAGGAGATATGTAGACGATATCATTTTGATATGCGATGATCATGAAGATGCGAGTCGTCTATTGGACAGACTCAACTCTGTACAGAATCATATTAGTCTTACATGCGAGGAAGAAAGTCACAACCAGCTCGCATTTTTAGACATACTTCTGAGTCGAAGAGACGATGGCTCAATAAGACGTTCTATCTACAGAAAGCCCACTTGGACAGGGCAATATCTTAATTTTCACAGCTTCTGTCCATTACAATATAAGAGAGGCTTGGTGAAGTGTCTATTTAAGAGGATTCAGCGTATTTGCACGGCTGATGTTATAGACAAGGAAAACGAAATATTGATGGATACTCTTGTTGAAAACGGATATCCTTTGAAGTTTTTAAACAGGTGTAGAAGTCAACTAACCTCTAAACCTACAATCCATACCGTCCCTAAGAAGAAGGTTTTCATCAAATTACCATATAATGGGGAAATAAATAGTAGGATTTTGAGACAAAGGTTGAATTCCATCATCCGTAGAACCTACTATGCAGCCCAGCTTGTAATTGTCGAAAAGGCTAAAAATATGCTTCACTGGAAACCTCAAAAGTGCACAAGTGATTATATCACATCCCATACAATTTACCAATTTTCATGTGTGTGTGGACATACATACATAGGGAGGAGTAATCGCGCGTTGCACGTGAGGGTGGGAGAGCATATCCCAAAGTGGTTAGGAAAACAGATGAATTGTGACAAGCCCATAGATGCAGGTGCCAGACTACCAACTTCGTCTATAGCTAAACATTTAATCGATATGAACCATAAGGTTGATGTTAACTCAGCCTTTAAGGTCATCTATAAAAACGGTCAAGGACGTTTACTGAAATACGCTGAGGCTATAGCCATTCATAAACTTAAGCCCCCCTTGTGTATTCAAAAACAGTTTGTTATTACTCTTAACCTACCTTGGTAATCCTTATTTGATTGGATTACCAAACGTTTGTGTTAATTATTCTTAATTCTTTTTTTGTCACCTTGTTTAATTTAACCTTTCCATATATATTGACTTGACAAGTAAATGTGTGATCAGATTGTTCGAAATGTATAGCGCTAATACATCACATTTTTCAGATAATCTCCGTCTTCTAATAATGCTATCAAAATTTATAAAAGGGACTAACTGTTTTAAAGTAATAATAATAATATACTTTATTCCAAAAACAGCACTTCTGATACAGAATGGAATTTTCAGCATTAATCGCAATATTGCATCTAATTTCCTCAAATTATAAATATAATTAATCACACAGAAAATTTTCCATATTTACAATAGAGGTAATGTCAAAAACATGCAGCATATAAAATGGAAATAATAATAATACAAGTGAAAATTGCCGTGGGCTTGTTTCACACAGTATTGTCGATGCGGTATACAAATCCTAGCATGATTAAAAATATTGAATATAATGTTCTCTTTACATGATATGGTGAGGTGGAAAAACAAAGATTACAGCAGTCATAGAGATAAGTTGGTGTTTACAATTATGAGCGTAAAACAAAGAAGCAACAGGTCCATGAATATAATAGAAATAATAAAAGTAAAACTTGAAGGTATATAAGGATGGATGGAGGAAATTGTTTATTTACTAGATGAAAAAAGGTTAAGTCAATTCTTGCCTGACACTATTTTCATCACATAAAATACGTGCCAAGTATGGTATCATAGAATTTTTATACTTAGACGTGCGAGCATACAGTTTTCTGAAGTTACTTCTTGTTCTACCTGAGGAGATTCAAGGTGAAAGCTGAGTGTGTATTAGGCGTGGGTAACATGTGCTCACTCGCCCCTAGTTGATGTATGCTTGTGTGACATATTTATTCAAGGTAGAGAGCACTTTGAATGGCTTCAACAAATATTTTATTGTTATCACTGTTCTCTGTGTGCTAGGAAGCATTTAGGGCATATTGTGGGGACATAAAGTGACGTTTTCATTAGTTAATAGAAGTGATTTATTTTATAGAGTTTTTGTATATTGTTATCCGAGCTTTTCATGTCTGTGTGTCTGTTTTATTCTTTCTGGCCACCTAGATTACATATTAGTTAAAGCTCTTAACCTAGTAAATAGATTTTGGGTTTTTGTAGAGATTATTGGAAACCAAGCGTGCTGTTTCATCCTAGTTGGGGACTCTTCAGCATTGCGCACCCATGATCCCAGAAGGGATTGAAATTAATCCAAATTAGTACAAAATTCCATAATTTACTCATCTATCTCCAGTTCGCTGATGGACATTGGGTAGATGTTCTGAAGCTGTAAGGAGAAGTGGTTAGTGGCCATTGGAGTCCACCACTATGTCAAGGTTGAGCGAATAGTAATGTAAGACATTGCCTAGAGATCACGCTGTATCACGAGAATTTTCCGCAGCTGTAATGACAAGTGGTTGTTGGCTAGCGGAATCCACCACGTCATGGTGGAGTGAATACTAATCGAAGGTATTGGCTGGCGATCACGAGAATTCCGGTGCAAGTGGCTAAATGGTCAAAGAAGCCTAGCTTCATAACCTGAAGAGTTCTAAATAAGGGCGAAACAGCTGACTAGTTCTTAACGGAATTTACTACTACGAAATAAACTGTTATTGGTACACTTTTCATGTCTCCTTTACGAAGTGTCTTAGATTCGTCACTTTAGCATTTACTCAACGAATACACCAAATTATTGTCTCAGAGATCCTTGAAACTTTTGACATTTACTGTGTTGTAAGAAAGTAAACTTTGTGCACCATGATGGCGAGCTACCTAGAATGGTGGCCACATTGCAAAACCTGACTGACAGAATTCAGTCTGCACCAAAGAAAGGACTAGATACGTCACACTAGTTACTACTGTCCAATCAAAATACCCACTACAGTCCTACATGAGGTCAGTCGCGAGCCTGAATAGCTCAGTGGTAACGTCTCTGACTACTGGCAGCACTGGGTGACGTCGGTTCGAATCTCAGAAGGGACATGAGTCCCTTCAAGATGATTGCAGATACACCTTGCTGATGAGTGCCAACTATCACGAAACCTAGGTCAAGCAAGGCTTCCTGTCGATTGCCTCCAACTATCTAATATCATCAAAGTAAACTTTTCTTGGTCAAAGTTTGATAATAAACAACAAAAATGAGTGTTTACTGATTGTAGATTGGTAGCTATCCAAGTCGGATTGCAGTAGACCATGCTTGCATTGCCCCCCCACCCTCCAGGTTTTGCTAAATTTATTCATTATCATAATCAATTTTTTTCCTGCCGTTTCTTTGTTCCACTGAATATCCAGTATTTACTACAACACATAAACCGGCTACATCGTAATTACAAGTTCAATTTTCATTAATATCATCTAACGGGCTCTTTTGATTTTAAGTGTAAATACTTACAGTTAGTTCACACCTAATCTGGTGACTTCTATGGTTGTTGTTTTTTGTTCAAAGTTAATATCTAAGGTCATTGTTGAAAGGAATCAATTTTTAAATAGGTTTAAAGTGGAATTAAGTAGTTTATTAGGCTTTTTAGTTATATTTATGTATTTCTTTTGCTCTACGTTTCTTTTGTGTGTGTGTGTGACTGTTTGAGGTAGATTTGCAAAGCTTTAGAGTTTGTTCAAGTTCAGCAACTTCTTTTGACTGATTTCTTTGGAAGAAAACATAATGAGTTTATATTGCACTTTGAACTGGACTTATTAATTGAAGTAGACGTTTTAATCAGCACTTACTCTCAGGTTTTACAATAGTTCCCTAACTGATGTCAGCTCGTGGTAGAATCCCCAACAAACCAGTAGCGACTGCCTCTTGATAGGAAGTCACCTAGAGTTCCAGTGAAAAGTTTTGACTAGTGGGTGGACAACGACTTTGGCTGGCGATTACCCTATATATCGCGAATTGGCAGGGGTTGTCATTCATGGGCCACTAGACCAGCTGCCGGTGGCTGAATAGTCAATGTGCTCTCCCAGACATCTCATCAAAATCGGTTACAGGGTGAACTTCGTAAATTTCTTTAAGATTATCAACAGACAAAATGTCTGTCTGTCTGTTTTCGACATAAAACTTTGCATCGATGTGCAGCAGTTCAAGTCGCCACACTCCATGTAGCACACAAAGCAAGAGAAAAAAGTAGGAGAAATGCATAATATAGACAGTAAACAGAGGTGTGAGACAAAAGAATAGTAGTAACGAAGAACAAAACAGATTCATTGGAAATCATAAGTCACAAGGAGTGGATGCATCTGCACTAGCCATTGAGAACGATTTCGAGCCATATCACCAATTGTTTCCAACCATTGGTTTTCATCGTCCCGAGGACTCCAACCAGTCAGGAAGTCTACACCTTCCTACGTGTCTTGCTTAAACTAACTGTTGTAGATTTCATTGACTGGTGCCATGTTTTCGTTTGACCGCCAACAGACAAAATAGTTCAGTTCTCTTGAAGTTTGCCGAAGAATTCTCTATCAAACTCCCGTAACCCGATTTATGTGTTGAGAAAGAAGCACGTATCAGTCTTTCCTTCCTCTGGTTAACTGGATGTCTTCTTTACTGTCTGTGTCACTTGATTGCATAATCTCCGGCTTTAACCTCTCTCCCTTCAGATAAAGTGCAATTTTCCTTGTTTCTTTTTTCTATGACTTGAATTGAACTCACTATGTTGTTGCTCAATTTGTTAGTTACTCATCATATTAATTACTCCTTTCCTTTATTACGTAACTCCTTTACCACTGTATGCATATGGTTACTTTAGTTCAAACTTGAACTCTCTGGGTAAAGCCATATTCAGATTCGTAAAGGAGGAAGAAATCTATCAGACTTTGTTTTAGTGTGTTATGTGGCAGGTGATGGGAGTGGGGATTTTCATTTTTTTAATCGTTTTTTCTATCAACCCTTATTTTATTCCCACTTTATTTTGTTCTTTTCCTCAATAGTTACGATGTGCAGCAGTTGCCTATCCTTACCAAAGTGTATCATCTATGCCTGCTACATCACTGCTGACTACTTCTTCACCGTCAATGGAGGATAATATACATAATACAGTGGGTTATTCTACTAGAAATAGTGTAAAATCCATTGATGATAATGTTGGCAATACAAATGGAAATGACGCCTGCACTGATGTGTCTAGATGTATTGATGGAGAATACAAAGAAGATCATCATCAAGTGCAACAATTGAATAATAATGGACTTTCATGTAAATCTCTGAATAATTATTCTATGGATAATTTATGCTCCGGTAACTCCTTAGAGAAGTATCCATCAATGATTGTTGATGATGATGACGTAAGTTATGCAATTGTGCGTGTGTGTGTGTGCAAATAAGTTTATCTAGTGATTTATCTGTAGATTTTTTAAAGCTAAATTTGATGGACGAGTGTATATATTACTTATCTTATTGAAATAGAACCTTGGTATATAATGATGGCCACCAAGAGATGCGCTACACAAAGACGTAGAGTTTGTGTGACGACTGGAATACTGCCTGTGGACGCCCAGATCGAAAAAGGTGGTTGTCTTATGAGATTTCCCCTCAAGCGTTTGACTTGAGGTTTGATCTCTAAGGCAGTGGGGCAGCGTCAGGAGCTGCATTTGCATAGATGTCGGTGACCAAAACAAATTCATATGTCATTTGATCCGTTCGGATTCTGGAACCCTTGTTCACCAATATGTTTAGGATCAGGGTCTCCCATGCGCATGCCTAACCATCACCTCCCTCGACGGGCATTACTAGCTGATATAGGTGCAGGTTGGTTGGAAAAGAGTAGGTGATGGCCAAACAAAAACATGGCATCAATCCATGAAATCCTTAACAGTTAAACTGAGTCAGGTAGGGAGATGCAGACTTCCGGGTTGGGGCCCTCGGGACTCTAAGAATCAATGGCTGGAGACAATAGGTGACATGGCTCAAAATCGTTGTCAGTGGCTTGCGCAGATGTATTCAGTCCCTGTAATCTTTTATATTCCTTTCTACCATTACTCATTCTGTTTCACTCTTATACTTGTCAAAACTCTATTGATTCTCTTCACTCATCTTGTTGTTTATCTTTGTGTGCTATTCGGAACGTGGCAACTCGAACTGCTGCACTTCGGTGCCAGGTTCTATGTCCAAATCAGCCATTCACCTTTTTGAGGAATATCTGTACCACGTGAAGGCAGTGAAATAGGACTTACGTGGCAGAGACTATGAACACGTGGCCGCTTAAGGTTATTTCAAGGAGTAAACCGTAGTCTACCTGCCCTCGACCGTACGATGTCGTTTATGGAGGCAAAACACTCTCACACTTAAATTGCTTGAATGATATCCAGAAATCTTAACCTCTGAACTACTTGGGACGTCGTAGAAGAACACTAATGCACAGTCATTCGCACTTTGGGATAACCCTTATATTTATTTCAATGGAAGGTAATACTAAGATATGATAGAGAAGATTTGTAGCTCAGGTGGATGATTTTGATATGGTTGTGTTCTCTGAGCTGGATAGTTAATTTGCGAAGCTTTCATCGCCCTACTAGGCGACATCTTCAGCGCATATTTCAATTTGAAGTGAGCTTTTAGATTTCTCCACGAGTTTATTAGTCATCTCTCCTGGTGACCTTGGACTTGATTGGTTGTTTTTGTGTGTTTTCACACCTTCTAGGTTATTTGTATTGTAATTCATTGTTTCTTTGACTTGAACTTTGACCCTTTGTGTGTGAGGTTTCTTTCTTATCGGTTGATAAATTTTGTCAATCTCGATGTGTCTATTGATTGATGATTCACTGGAATGCCAAGCTTCTAAAAATTCTCTAGCATTCTTGATGTTTCCTCTATCTAATATTTGAACGTTGTCCCAGTCGAATTGATGTCCGTGGCTGTCTGTATGTAGTGATATGAGGGAGTGGATATCATGTCTTTTGACAGCTAGCTTATGTTCGTCAAAAAGACATGATATCCACTCCCTCATATCACTACATACAGACAGCCACGGATATCAATTCGACTGGGACAACGTTCAAATATTAGATAGAGGAAACATCAAGAATGCTAGAGAATTTTTAGAAGCTTGGCATTCCAGTGAATCATCAATCAATAGACACATCGAGATTGACAAAATTTATCAACCGATAAGAAAGAAACCTCACACACAAAGGGTCAAAGTTCAAGTCAAAGAAACAATGAATTACAATACAAATAACCTAGAAGGTGTGAAAACACACAAAAACGACCAATCAAGTCCAAGGTCACCAGGAGAGATGACTAATAAACTCGTGGAGAAATCTAAAAGCTCACTTCAAATTGAAATATGCGCTGAAGATGTCGCCTAGTAGGGCGATGAAAGCTTCGCAAATTAACTATCCAGCTCAGAGAACACAACCATATCAAAGGTAATACTAAGCAGTTAATAATTCTACTTAGTCTAAGACCTGTTCAGTTAACTCTTCAACGTATATTTATAGTGTATGTTCAAGCTGAAGTTAACAAGAAGGAATTATTAATAAAATTGTTTCATTCATTACTGGGGAAAAAAGTTACGTAAAGCATTTAAAGAGAACTAAGAGTCGATTCTGCATAATAGTTGATAAAAAGAAAGTGTCAGGATTAAAAGTCACTGTCATCTTGTCTAGAAGCTTGATGGATTTTATGTTATTGTTGTTGTTGTTTTTCCCACCTTATCCAACAAACGGATATGGAAATACTTAAGCCACTGAGTCTCTTTTCTGACAACAACGACGGTTGACCTGCAACTGTTGTTCCTTCAGCTTTTATTGGTTGAACTTACAGATAAGAATAATGCAGATGGGTAACTATACTAACTAGAATGATAATTCTTGAAGCTCTTATCAGGTCATAAAAGTTAGTTGGTTGGTTAGTAATGAAGCCTATATTCTAGTATGGAGATGTGGTTCATTGGCTTAAGAGTTTGGTTTTCAGCCAGTGGGTCGTATCATCTGCCATCACACGATAAGTATGACTCTTAGTCCTGCACAAGGAAAATCTGTTTCTAATAATTCAGCTTGAAAAAAGGTGTGTAATCTAAAAGTGTCAAGTGGTGGACCTATCTTTCCACTTGTAATTAAGATTTGGGGGCATTGCTTCCTTTTTCTGGGCTTGCTTCCCACCGGTAAACTAGGCGAAGTTCTAGAGTGTTTCAACGGGGATTCGAACTCAAACAGCCTACATCTTACCATTCAATTACCGACTCACCTAATAGAATAGAACTGTCAGTTTATCTAAACATTAAGATGGCAGCAGGGGGGGGTTGGTGAAGCGGGATCCAGCCCTGTGACCTACTAGTTGAAGGTGGAGTGGCCGAGTCATTAAACCACAACGTGAATGGTACTGTTGTTTGTCATTCGAATTGCAACCTAATTTCTAGTGCTCACCCAATCTGTGATCATTTGTGATATTAGTCACTTCCTGAACAATTAGCAGTTTTTCAAGTTGTATTCCTGATATTTATTCAGACATGTTACATAGTTATGGTAAGATTTGATCAAAGTAGTCTAGATATTTTCGCTCACGACCCATATTTTTTGACCATGAAGTATTCTTATTGGCTATCTTTATTCTCGCAACGCCATTGGTCGGATATACCTCTTCATGTATCATTGTTTACTTTGGTAGACTCACTTCTTACTTATACGGATAAATATAATTCCGAGCTCACGTCGTTCTGTGTGTTTTGACTTAAGTAGAGGGTAAACAGTTAGCTGTCACATAATGTTGTCAGCTTAGTCAAGCGATATTCATGGTCAGCGCGTTGAAACCCAGCATTGACGTCCGTATTCTGTTTAAATCACAATGTTATTGCTCAGTCAGGTTCCTTATTCATAATAATTCGATCACTGGGCGTCATGAGTGAGTGGATCATTGAAGACCAGGAAGTACGGAACAGGAAGAAACAAATGTCTGGTACTTGTTAGTTTCGAGTGGTTCTCTTACTGATGTCACTTGGTGATAAAATCAAGTGAATCCGTACAAACTGACTCACTAGAAAATAAGCAGTATTTTTTTAAAAATTCCTTCACGTTCCCAGTGGAACATAGGGCTTCAAGCTAGAGGCTTGAAGTTTCTGTAGCAGTGTTTATTTTGACAGGATGGGGTTGCTAGCCTCATGCCCAACCTTTCCTCTTTACCAGATTTATCTCTGGCTTAGCGAGGTAAAGGAGTGCGTCGGTGGCCGGGGATCGAACCCCGGAGCATTTGCATGGTTGGCGAGCGTCCTAACCACTATGCCACCGACGCACAAGTGTATTTAAATATAATTAAAGGTTAATTTGGTGGATGGTGGCAAGGAGTGGAATCCAGGATGCGCATTTCGTCCTATTTCAGACCCGTCATCTGGATGTACCTGCATTTCCCAGTGAGTGATGATGTTCCCACCGAGGCTCGAACCCAATGCCAATAGTCTTAAACGCCAAAGCGTTATCCAGTAGACTACTTGGGCCATTGAGTGACAGTAATTTAAGTCATTATTGGGTACATTTCCGAATATAAGAAAAACAGAAAAGTGAAAATATTGAACTCTGAGGGAATTTCGCTGAATACGTTTTAATTCCCTAAGTAGTTGTGGTGGCTGGAACTCAAGTATTTTGGTCTGAATGCAAAAACCACTGGATGCTAACTTCCGTATGTACCTCACCAAACTTCTTTGAGCACAAAATTATTCAGCAACAATATCGAAAACACACATTTGATGTGATAGAATCTATGTTACTGTTCAATAATAGTAATCATAATAATAACAATTTAAAACAATTAGTCCCTTTTATAAATTTGGATAGTGTTATTCGAAGACGGAGATGTGATGTATGTGCACAATGCATTTCAAACAGTCTGATCACACATTTGCTTGTCAATTCAATATATATAAAAAAAAATGTAGGGCAATTAAAGTACACAGCTTCTGTCCACTACAATAAAGGAGAGACTTGGTAAAATGCTTATTCGATAGGATTCAGCGTATTTGTACGGCTGATGTTATAGAGAATGAAAATAAAATACTCATGGATACTCTTGTTGGAAATGGATATCCTTTAGAATTCTTAAACCTGTGTAGAAGTCAGTTAGTCTTAAAATGCACAATGTATTTTGTCCCTAAGAAAGATGTCTAAATTAAGTTACCATATAATGGTGAAATAAATAGCAGGATTTTAAGACAGAGATATAAAGTCGGTCATCCGTAGGACCTATTATGCAGCTCGGCTCATAACCATTGGAAAAGCCAAAAATATGCTGCACTACATACCTGAAAAGTGCACTAGTGATTGTGTTACATCGCACACTATATGCCAATTTACGT